TCTACAGGATGTCTGTTATTTGAGTCAGGGTCTTGCTACATAATCCAGGTTGGCCTTGAACTCAGGAGTACCCTCCTGCCACAATCACCACGGGCATCACCATGCCTGGCTAGCAAAGAATTTCAGACTTTAAAAGAAGTTTATATCTAGCCTTGTAACGAGTATGGTTTTCCTGCCCGCTGCCTGGTCTGGTCCCACCGCCATGCCAGCCCCAATTAATGCACAGAGACTCTGTATTTGATACAATGCTGTTGGCCCGGTTACTTGTTTCTTATCCGCTAGCTCTGTCTTAAATATTAACCCATTTCTGTTAATCTAATATTTCCACGTGGTCTTCTTACGGGGAAAGGGGCCAGCGTCTTGTCTCCCCAGTCTCTCCATCTTGACCCCTCCTTACTCCTTCCTATTTCCTCCTGGTATCCTAGTCCCGCCTATCTTGCTTTCCTATTGGCCAACAGTTCTTTATTCATTAACCAGTATGAGAAACATATACAGAATGACCTCTCCCATCATAGCCTGGAACTCGGGGCCATTATTCTTAGCCATAAAAGTACACTCCACAAGTAAGGACCTAGTACAAGAGACAATGGATGGCTTTCTTGTAGAAGTTCTATACAAAGCGAATACAGTTTTATAGTATAAAATGTTTTAAGAATATACACATATAATAATTGTGCACTCTTGTTTATTTTCATTTAATATAACATGAAGTTAACAGACATATATTTAAGGTAACAAAATGTTATAATTAATAAGATTCTGCATTTTAAAGGATATTTTTAGAATAGCTGGAGATTTAACATTCAAAGTTTACTCGTTTTTAAAACATAAAACACACAATTATAATATCCAGATCTTACAATTTTAAAGTTTTAACCAAAAAATTTGCAAGTAAATTCAAGATATTTCAGACAAAAAAACAAAACAAAACAAAACAAAACAAAAAACCATTACTGACAAGTGCCAACGGATTAAACAATGTTGTCTGATGTGTTTTCTTCTGGTGAGGAGGGTAAAAGTACATGATAAAATATAACTAGTTGTTTTTAAAATCGTGGTTTAGAACTAGTAATAACAACGAGTGCTTATTTGTAGATTAATCATGATAACATATCAGCTTTAAGAGTGCAGCTATGATCTCTAATAGGCTCTTCAGTCATTGCTGACTAGTTTAGTATCCAGTGTTTTTAAAAGTACAGTTTCAAACTAAGATAAACCAAATCCCACCAACATCAAGAAATGGTTTCCAAGAACTTCACATTAATAGAAGAATCTCCCTTGTTACTAAAAACAGGTTCAGACCTGTTTTAAGTATGAACAGTACAGATGGAAAAGTTTGGCAATAAGTACATTTCTAGCAGGTGAGGGCCTTGTGTTCACTGCCCTAAGAGGTGCCCTCCACATGAAGGAGACACATTATCAAATGTTTACAGCTCTCCGGGCACTTGACCGGTTGTTGGTATTCTGGTGTTTAGTTAATGGACAAATTAAATTACATAGTGATTCCAAACTATGTTTCCACAGAACATCTGTGCTCCATAGCTAAGTCCCAATGTTCCCTCTATAATCAAATAATAATGCCGTTTGTCCAATTCAGAGAACATATTTCATGGAGTTAAGTTAATAGATTTAATTTTAAGATTTTTCTACCACAGATTTAAAAAAAAAAAAACTTTGTTGCCCATCATTCATCAGAATGCCAAAAGAAAAAAAGGCTTGAGAATTATGAAATATCTAAACATTAGAAGATTTGAAGGTTAATATCAGCACAATATGCTCTTTATGGAAATATACTTTGATAGATTTGCTTTTATGCTAGAAGACCCATATTTTCGCAAAGCAAATGTGAATTCAGTATGTAAACATTTTAAGATACTCAAAAGAGTTAGGGATTTCCTGTCTGTTCTTGAATGTGTCTGAGATCCATTGCACCAGTGTGTGGCTCCAAAATCCTCTTTGGGTTCTGTGCCAAAAGGATGCTAACAGATACATCACCAAGGACAAGGTTTCAAGGCAAGCCCACCGGGAAGATCCAAGTACAGCTGCTACTAATGCTCCCATTTTTCTGAACTACTTACCATATAGCTTAAATGTTATACTAAGAATTTTGCTTTTATGTATTACAGTATTATGACTTGGGAAAAACTTGCAATCTATTTGTAGGCAGTTAGCTTTAAAAGAAGGATATTGCAGCTCTTAGCACTAACAGCCCTGAGAACAATGCATTGAAATCCCAGCTCAATAGAAACAATCTCATTGAAAAACCTTAAAAGTATAAAATCAAATTCTGGAAAACTTAGCAAAAAAAAAAAAAAAATCAACAGTTGAGGCACTACAGACTACAGTACTTTAATAGTTGGAAGGTCCTTGAGAAAAGAACAAAGCTATGTGTGTTCACACACACATTCATACCCTGCGGTAATGAAAAGCATGTTTCCCAGAACTTTCTAAACATCGTATTGCAGTGTCTTCTGCTAAAGATACCAGTCTGGTCTCAAGAGTTTTGGTCACTGATATATAAGCACTGGCACAGAAATTTGGACTATGAAAGGGAACAGAGTCAAGAGCTTGGTTGGTTACCACGTCAAGTGACTGGCAGTCCCCCAGGGCATCAAGGATTTGAAGACCAAGTTAAAGCTCAAGGGTCTGACCTAGGTCAGAGGGCAAATGACTGCACCAGTGTAACAAAATCTTCATTGTAGAAATAAAGCCTGTTGTTCTAGAATTAAAAATTCAACCTGTTAATACTGTCTAAACAGCAAAGAAAGAAAGAAGGAAAAGTATACAGACACAGATTTGCAGTGATATCCAAATGAGTCTCCATTTGCTACATGGTGCTTGTGAAACTGGAGATCTGCTATTGGAAGTACAACAAATACTAGGAGTCAACTTAGCATTTCTCTGATGTATATGTAAAAAATATATGTTCCCTGCTTCCCTTTGATATAATTTATAAAGCTTTACTAAATGAAATATTTTGCTCTAAGAGAAACATCTACTGACTTATGTGAAAATAAACAGTCCTGTATGTTTAAAATCTATACTTACATGTTGGAGTATGTACACTTCATATAGTATTTAAAATGAAATCCGTAGGCTGAAGTAGCTTTTGCTATTCACGGTATGGAGCTAGAGATACACTGCTATTCACCCTTATACTGCAAAGGAAAATAGAGGTTCCTGTGAAACTTGACACATTAGGAAGAACAAGGGCATGCCAGTCCTGAAGTAATTTGAGGTCAAAATACCACCGGTGTGGCTGTTAATTGGCCAGATGATGACCAGGAAACAGCAGAGATAAATAACTTTGGAATTCCTGTGGGTAACAAATCAACCAGTACAACTAAGGCACACATGAAAACAGCAGAAATCTAAAGCAGTATGAAAACAGCAGAAATCTAAAGCTGTACGCAGAAGATATGTGAGAAGATATCAACCTAATTCCTAATTGTGCTTTGCATGGGCAAAAGCTGAAAGCTCACCCTAAGGTCAAGTGCTGCCACTTCAGCGTTTCTGTGCTTTAAAAGTCTCTTCTTGGCACGTCTCCTCCAGTCCCTTCTTCTTCTCTGCATTGGTTTGTGGAGGCCAAGACAAAATTTAAAACTGCTACAAATTAAGAAACTAAAATCTTGGGATCTGGAATTTTTGATGCTATTTCAAATTGCTGATTAGACCAGTTGCACTGTAACATATATTTGTTCTAGATGGGAACAAAGGACTTTGGGGGACCAGACATCATGAAAGAGACATGAGAGTCAGTGTCAGAGAATCAGGGTGTTTCGGGATTTTGTTCTAAGAAGCACACCAATGAGATGACTGTGATTTTGTCAGAGTCCTTCACAAACCCAGAACTATGTCTAAGATTCTGAACACAATCTACACACAATCCCAAAGTCTAAAAAGAAATGAAAGGGCATTGCTAGCAACATATTAAAATAATCCAGTTCATAAATTACAACATATTAAAAGAATCCAGGTCATAGAATCCTTTCCTACTTAGATTTTACATCAGTAACAGAAGTTCACAAGAGAATATATATATATATATATATATATATATATATATGTATATATATGTATATGTATATATATATATATATATACACACACACTTAAATTAATTTTCAAATAAGATAATACTTCTTCCATGGTTTACTTCTATTCCACTTTAGAAAAGTATACATACATACATTTAACAAATTCCAAAGCAACTTAAGAATTCCTAATTTTAATCTAATGTCAAAACAAATGTACTTAAAAAACTGTGGGAAGGGCTAGATTACCAACATTATGAAAACCCTTGAATAATGTTTGGAAGTCATGCGGAGTCTCTGTGAGGCCAGTCCTTTTGGTACTGAGAACACAGCCAAAAGCAAAATGACAACTAGAGCTCACTCTGTTTTGTATGCTGATTCCAAAGGTCTTAAATAAAAACTATAGTCTCACTACCTCCTTGGCCGCTGTCTTCTGTGTCTTCTTTATCACTTGTTTGATGTGCTCAGAGTCCCTCCGCAGTTCTGTTCCCTTAGTCAACCATGAAAGGGATTAAAACCACTATGTAGGTCTGTCACCAATTTGGCAAAGAAAAACATGATGGAGGTAATACATGGAACATCTGACCACCAAAATAACAACATTTTTTGATGAGTTTAGCTTCAGGAAGTGTGTTTGCCACACAGAGCCTGGAACTTAGACAATTCCACTTTATAATCTATGAATTCTAGATAGTAAGTCTGAAATTAGCAAAGGACAATTCAACTGAAATGCATGAAACTTCCATTCTACTAGATGCTACATTGTTGATTTAAAACCCTGGTTTGTTAGCTACTTAAGTTCAGGAGTGATTTGCTCAGAGAAGTGATGTCTATTGAAGCTAAGAGTACTTGTTTCTTGTGGTCACATACTGAAAACCACAGGAATGTGATAGGAAAGACACTTACAAAATTATACATCTTGTATACTATTTTAAAGTTACTGTCTGCAAAACTAAGCCAGCACAATTTCAAAACAATAGAAACATAACAAAAATAAAGCATGAGGTTGCTTATGAAGGCCATAGCTTTGGGACACTAGATCCAGACCTAATGGGTCTGCTTGTGTGGATGGTCCTGATGGTCCTGTCTATTTGCAGGGCTTTATGGCCACAGCATATTCTTCACTCATGGCACACATGACAGATACCTAGAAGGGGAAAGGGCAAGCAAAGAGTTACTCAGGAGGCAATACACAGAGAAGATGCCTTGTGTTCACCAAATGCTGCATTCTTGTGCACATCTTTTATGCTGAATTTGTAAAGGGGTAATCCAATGCAGCTAGCCTATCTTCTGAAGCAGAATTCCTCAGTCAACTTCCAAGTAAAGTAGAAACACTCCAAGTAAAGTATCAACAGTTATTCTATGCTATATTTCTGAGCCATAACGAAGAGTCCATCTTCCCCCTCCCTCCCTCTCTCCCTCCCTTCCTATTCTTTAAACTCATAGGTAGATCTACAGTAAGTATGGCGTTCCATGTCAGTCCAGAAGTAAGAAAACAAACCCCCTCCCCAAACTTGATGCTTTCTTTGCAAAGAGGTCTTTGAGGGGCCATGGGAATTGCCATTTGGAGATCATGCCAACATTTCAGCAGTATTTAAAGTTCTATTTCACAGTTTTGAAATTTATTTTATATGTTATTGTTATATGTGTGTGAACAGATGAAAAATACTTTTATTCAAGGTGAAGAAACATATATAGAGATAGTGTGCTGATAATGCTCCTCTGCAAAGCAGACAGGCCCTTGGGAAGCTGCAGTCTGCACATATAGTCTTAGGCTAACTGTAAAGGGCCAGTTTTAAATGGTTTTGAGAGTCTGTCATTGGTCTTACCTGTACATCTTCACCTGCATTGTATTTTCCTTCTATTTCTTTGCCCAGTTCACCTTCTGGCAGCTTAAGATCCTCTCGGACTTCCCCAGTCTCTGTTAGCAGGGAAAGGTAGCCATCCTGAATGCATATGAGCTATTAGAAGAAATTACAGATGATACTGATTAGATCACGTCCTTTCTGTTGTAATATTTACACAGTTCAACTGCAACACACTTTTGTTTGGATAAGAACGCAGCAAAACATTAACAGATTTGTGGTATTTAAAAATGCTAACATGCAGCCGAGCGTTGGTGGCGCACACCTTTAGTCCCAGCACTCGGGAGGCAGAGGCAGGCGGATCTCTGAGTTTGAGGCCAGCCTGGTCTACAGAGTGAGTTCCAGGACAGGCTCCAAAGCTACAGAGAAACCCTGTCTCGGAAAACCAAAGAAAGAAAGAAAGAGTGCTAACATTTCTAATGCCTTTACTTCTTTCTACCTAGCACTCAGGAGGCAAAGGCTGGTCTGGTCTACATTGCTCCAGGCCAGCCAGAACTAAATAGTGAGACCCTGTTTCAAAACAAACAAACAAACAAACAAACAAACAAACAAACAAACAAACCACATAAATGCAGGCATGTGTAGCAAACCCAGAAGAGATGTGCAATTCACTGTACTAGCCTCACCGCTCTCTACATTCCAAGGGATTCTTATTCAGACATAATACAGACAGCTGTTCCTAGAGAAAATGATGGACTTCAGTAAGTTTTCTTAATAACATACTTTAGAAACTTTCCAAATCAGGAAATATGAAACTATTTTCTTCTAATCACCACGCATGTATATGAATATACTGTAAGTAAAACTTTCCTACTAGTAGACATCAAAGTTATTTTTAGTTTTTCACTATTAAAATGATGAATTTTATAATTTGGTTACAAGCAAAGTTAAGTGGAAATTTTTGGAATTCAGACCAATGTTAACAGATTTTAAAAACCATTTGTCTGTCTGTCTGTCTGTCTGTCTGTCTATGTATGTATCTGAATTGTATTTTGATCTCATTCTACCCCCTGCCCCGTTAGCATCTCTTGGCCCTGCCATTGCAGCTGACCAAGTAGTCCCTTGTGTATTTTCATGTCTTCCTTATTTCTTGCTGAGGTGGTTAGTTTCATCAGGGTGGCTTGCTTATGGAAGTGTGGGTGAGGGTTATTTCCCAGAGCCTGCACAGCTTACCAGAAGCTACACCACTGCTGGAGAAGTCTCTCCCTCCACTAACAGCCACTGACTGTAGACCCTCGGGGAGGGATGGTAACAGACTCTTAACATTACCTTATCTGACATTAACAAAACAAAGCCAGACTTAACCTTTAAAAAAAGCATACATTTTGATAGAATGCTTTAGAAACTCATTAAGTTTTTATTTTATTTATTGTGTGTAGCTGTGCATGTGTGCATCTGTGTCTGTCTCTGTGCAGGAGCTTAAAGAGGTTAGGGATCTCAGGAGGTAGAGTCACAGGCAGTTGGGAGCCTCCCAAAGTGATTGTTGGGAACCAAACTCGGGTCCTGCAGAACAGCAGTATCTGCTCTTAACTTGATATAACCCTTTTATTAGAGCAACGAGGAACACAGCAAGCTTCCACCATCAATTGTAGTGCCTATAATTCCAAGACACTTTGCAAATGCCATTCATCTGGACTACCAGCTGCTAACATCTACAAAAGGAATGAGACATCGGCCTGACTTCTGTAACCAGAGCTATGCTATAAGCCAGCATAGCATGCAGGAGGAGTTTCAAAGTGTTCCACTAGTACCACTTAACAAGCCTTTTCTCAACTAGTTCTTAGAACTCAAATTAGCCTGCTTCTGTTACTCTACCATCTATCACGGGGCTCAGTTACCTCTCCTCTGTACTGTCTCTCCGACTTGTTTCATGTCTTCCTAGTGACTGCCCACCTCTCTTCTTCCCAGAGTTCTCTCTCTTGAAATCCCACCTATTTTAGCCACTGGCCTTCAGCCTCTTATTACACCAATGATAGCAAGAAATCTTTACACAGCGTACAAATATTCCACAACAGTGAGTTTTTAGTCACTGAAATGTTTGAGAAGTAGCTGGGAAAATAGTGAAGAACAAGGAGTGTCAGGGATATGCACAGTGTTTAACTATCTGAGGACAGGCACTCATCTAAGGCAGACCTTGCTGCCCTTCTGGCCGTTCCTGAGGTGGAATACCATACTTCAGGGTGAAAGGCAGCGACTTACTGTGCTGGGATAACAACCAGCAGTTTTCCACTGTTTTGCTCTTTGAATGTGGGGCAGCTCTAATGCCCTGTCTTTTAAGACACTGACACTGTCTTGGCTTACAGATGTCACTCAGTCTGGGTCTGCCTTATTGTCTTATAATTAATGTAATGTATTTTTGGAACAAACTTTCTAAATGATGTGTCCATGGAGTAGCAATCATACCAGGAGGCAAATGGACCTACTGCACTAATGGTAACGCTAACCCTGACCACCTGGCTACTAGGATGGTATCTGTAAGATCTTTATAGTTTAAAGATGGCTCTTTCTCTCAAAAAAGAAGGAAGAAGCCAAGGGTGTTACCGTTAAATCTCATATATATATATATATATATATATATATATATATATATATATATTTGTGCAAAATTCCATCTTTTCTCAAAATCTTTAGGATTAGCATGTAATACATGCAGTTGGTACACTAGACTCCAGACCAGCATGTGAGATTTACTGGCTCTACAATGTGGTGTCTTCTCTTTACTAAAAGGTCTTACCAAGGGCTGTTGGGAAAATGGGAAGGTGTACATGATGAACCTGATACAAATGTTCAGAGTATGAGGAACTATCAGGACCATGAGTTAGGCCCAGTCCAAAGGGACTCAGGAATTAGCGTGACTAAGCTTGCATTGGCCAGTAACAAAACAACCCGTAAATATGGAAGACAAAGACAACGTACTGAAACTCAAATATATCTTGCCTGAGTTCATAGTAAAGATCAGTTTGTTGATCACCTTCAGTGCATACTTGGAACAGGTCATTTCAAAAACAGTGAGAGTGGGTGAGATGGCTCAGAGGGCAGAGGAACTTGCTATCAAGCCTGACAATTTGAGGTCAATGCCCAGGAGTGAGAACCAACTCCCTCAAAAATTTCCTGACCTCCATGCACACGCGCGCACACACACACACACACACACACACACACACACACACACACACACACAGAGAGAGAGAGAGAGAGAGAGAGAGAGAGAGAGAGAGAAAGGTTGTATTAAATGTTAAAATCTGTGATAACTAAAGGCAGAGTGAAGTATTTATACTGGCTTCCTAGTGTACACATGCCTGAGAATGTACTTAGATGGTGCATGCCCTAGTGCTCAAGGTAAAAACAAAATAACCAATGAAGAGTTTCCATAGAAGTCTGGCTTTCAAAGACATGGAAGAATACAGGATCATTACTTTGTTTCCTTTAAATTAATGGAATGAAGCTATGACACACATATCTAATAACTAACATTACAGAAAAAGTAAGATTCCGCTGGGTGTGGTGGTGCATGCCCTTAACCCCTTAATCCTAGCAGTCTAGAGGCAGAGGCATGTAGATCTGTGAGTTCAGAACAGCAGTCCCTAGTTGTTTTTCCATGCTCCTGTGCATATATATGGCAGCACTTACTGGACCCAGTGGGTTATATAATAAAGAGAAGATGTGAAGGTGGGAAGAGTTGTGGGGAGGGCAGGTCCAGGGGTGTTTGAGGAGGGGGAGTAGGTCATCTAACTGCATTGCATTCATGTGTGGAATTACTAAAGAATAAATAAAATCTTTTCCAAAAGGGCAGAGTACAGAAAAAACAAAATTTGTCATATATTGGTAAATACCAACCCCCAGTGATGTGTATGTGGGATTTTGACATTAGGAAATTCCCACAATAAAAATAAAATATGGCCAACAAGACAGCTCGACAGAAAAGTACTGGCCGCAGAAGCCTGCTGACTCGAGTTTGATTCCTGGAGGCCACCTGGGGGAAGGAGAAAGGTGATTCCTACCCACAGAGTGAGTATGCATGCCTGTACACACAGAAATGATGAAATACGAATAAACAGCACACTGGGAAAGAGATGCAGCATTCTAGGAGGACAGAGCACTGAAACTACTAAATGCCAGGGAAGGCACAGTGGGCTGCGAAAGAGTAGCTAATCGGAAGGGTACAGGGGGCCATTCAAGAGTACAGAGCCTGGCAATGATGTGCCCAGAATAAGAAAGAGCATCGAAAGGGGGATTGTGGAGAGGGTGGTTTTGTTTTTGCCTGTGTTCGCATTACTAATATATAACAGATGGCAGGGGAAGGTTGTCACTATGAGTGCTTTCTCAGCCTCAGTTTCTGAACTTGGCTTCATTCTATTTTAAAACAAGCAGCCTTCACTATACAAGGTGAACCGTCTTTCTTTCAACTTCAGCCTTCTTTACCTGGCACTCTTCAGCTACTTCACAGAAGTTGCTTGTCCAAGGTAGAGTGAATTCTTGAACATTATTATTATATCACTTAAACAAATAAGAGGAGCATCAGCTGGGGTGTTATCTGACCCAGCAAGTCCTTATGTTGGATATGCACATCAAATGAGGGTGCACGTACAAGATAAAATAGGTGGGTCCTAAAATTCCAATAATCTGACAAGTGGCTCAGACTCAGAAAGCATTTTTTCTCACTGATCACTTCTCCCCCATGAACTCACACCAACGGCTAAATCAGGAATGCTTGTCAGTTGACTGTAAAAACAAGAACTTCAGAATGGTTTCTAGTTCCCATGAGTGATATGAGGGACCATGCAGAAAGGGCTGTGACACATGGTGGGGGTGGGGGTAGGCTTCTACTGTATTGATTGCTACTGACTATGGGCAAAGAGTCAAGAGTTGGGTTGGAAAGTCAAGGACACTGGAAAACCAACCTAGGGAAACTGCTAATGAGGTCTAAGGTAGTGAGTGGTTCGTGCATAGACCTCTCTAATTGTTAGCAGATGTTCACTGGTGGGTACCAGCTATAAAAGAGGCTCTTAGATAAAGAGGTTGCTCTAGTGAAAGACATTGGGCTTCTTGTTATTGCTGCCTTAGTACTTGCTCAACAGGCTTTCTCTCCCTGAGGCTTGCAGAGCCTCACAGGTAGAAATGATACAGGGCCCCTGATCTGGTACCTTTTCCCAGTGGGAACAGCTAGTACCTGATAACACTGCAGACAGCCTCCCCATGGACTTGCTTTTCCTACCTGTGGTACTTTCGCCAAAAGTTTACAGTTTGCTCCATCTCTGTTACAGCACCTCAGATGGTCTCATTTCTGAATAAAATGCTCATTTATTGGCAAAGTAAGGAGAACCATTGAAGCTCTATAAACAGCTTGCCCACTGGACTGACCCTGAAGATTCATTCATGGTACCTTCTGGGGAACACTTTGTGCTGCTATTTTTCCTCTAAGTAGAATACAGTGACTTAGCAACCTAACATGGCTTTTTTTCACTTTTACCCTTAATGATCCTATAGCAATATATTTGCCCCTTCTCCCTAAAATACTGAGGTTTAGTGGTTTTCCATTCTCAGAGAAAGAATGTGTCCATGAAGAATACAAGGCATTCACAGAACAGATTAAAATGATAAAAAGATTTTAAAGCACAGGGAAATTACAGCATCACTGCTTTCTTTATTATTACTATTTAAGGTTGCAATATGGAGTTTGTGAGATGGCTCGGGGGTAAAGGTGCTTGCACACAAGTCCTTACACACCCAGCACCCACACGATACATGGAGAGAACAAACTCCTGAAAATTTTTCTCTTATTTCCACAAGTGTGTGTACATGCAGGCACACACCTACACTAAGTGAAATAAATGTAATTTGGATTTAAAAGACATAATTCTGGCAATCCCCTATCATCCAAGAGTCTACAATATGCACTTTATATGTACTAAGAAGATTTCCCTACAAGGAATGGTCTTCAAATGACAGAGAAAAGTGCAGCAAATCCAGAAAACATTTAATTTGCAGTAGAATATACAGCGGTACAGAAACTCTAAAAAGATGTGATTCCAAAGGATGACCTAAACAAGCCATCTCTATATTTAACAATTTGGGAGTTCTTCCAAAGGGCCCAAAAGCATTTTCTATTTTACACCACCACAAAGCCCCAGACAATTATAACTTCTTTTGAGAAAACTAATGGAAATTAGCAATTCTAATCTAAGCCAACCTTGGAATGGGAGTCAGGAAACACTTTCTTGCATCCTGAACTTATTTTAAGAATATACAAATTACATCTGTAAATATTAACATATTTCTTCTCCCATTTAAAAAAAAATTATCACAATGAATAGAAGTACACATTCCACGTTGGCTGGCTGCCAAACTGGCACTCAAGATATTGAATTCAGCAGATGCAAAGGAACTGCATGAAGTCAGGTAATAACAGAGGCAGGGATTAACCAGGCAGCACTCAGATAGAAGAGGGAGGATCACCAGAACATGATAAACAGACTGGAAAGCTCACAGAACTAAGTTCCTCACTGAGTGACTAGAAACAAACATTTGGTGTTAATTTTGTAGCAGGGAAGCTGCAGGCCCTGAGTACTTCCTATGCTAGGCATGCCGTATGTGTTCACTAACCTCCTCCTTTGCCTGGCATGTCCTAAGTGTTCGTTCGTTAAGCTCTGAAATGATCCCATGAGAACTTTGTTACATCCCAATTTTATGAAGAAAAAGAGATGAGACATTGAGCAACTTGCCAACCAAGATCACACAATATAAGTACCAAAGCAGAGTCCTAGATCCAATTGACTGCCTGACACCATCCTTGACTGTCCACTCTGCTACATGGACTACATACTAAGGGTGGGACTAGGGGGAAGTACAAGGTGACTCTTGGGTGCAAAGCTTGAGAAGGTACCCAAACTCCTCAACCACAGAACACTACAAAGAAAATTGAAAAGAGAATGCAAAAACTGCATGACAAACAAAACGAAAATCTGCACCAGAGCCACAATTACTAAGTCTCCCTTTGCTCTAGGCTACTGTATAGCTTGCTGGCATTGTTAGACCTGTCTGCTTAATTTTTGCACATGAGGCGAGGGGTATGCTTGGACTTCACTAAACACCCAAATAAAATCCAAGCCAAATTAGTGCCTTTACATTCAGTTTTAAGCTTCAATCAATGATTGGTTAACGTGAGCACAGTAATCATGTGAACTGCTGGTGTCAGCTCAGTGCAGTATCAACAGGTAGGAGCACAGGAAGAAACCACCAAGTACTGAGTATTCAAAACACTCACAAGACACTATGAGAAAAGAAATCCATCCTGGCAAAAAGTACATTCTACGAGTAGCCTGCCTTAATATGACAGGTTAATCTTACACTCCATCACCCTGAATAAACATATATTCAGTTACTAGTGTCTACTGAGTGCCTGCTATGTGCCACATCTAAAGCCAGTGATCTAAGAACAATGACACGATCAAGAAGAATTCTGACACAGGAAATGTGAAGCAGAACAGAACCACTAGTCGGAGTACCCAGCTGCTTATGGGCACACACTTTCTCATTCAACCCTGTTTGTAGACTGAAAGGCAGAGCTCAGAGAAAACATACTGTGTAAAAGACTATCTAGCTGGGAAGAGCCAGAACTAGACTCAAACCTAGATCAGCTTAGCTCAAAATATCACCTGCTCTGGTGTTTGGTATAATTATCAACATATTTTAAATTTGAATAGAATTAATATGAAAATATAAAACCTCATCAAATTAAAACTAGAAAAGTATGCTTACACATGGATAGTATCAAAGGGAGTCACTGAGTGAATGCAGTGATGCTGACCTTCTTAAATCCTATGTAAGTAGCTCAGACAGGCCAGCTGAAGGTCAAGGGTCTAGCTTATACTTAGAGAAGATGTTTATTTTACTCTGTATTTGGTTCAAACACGGAGGACTTTCAGGAACTGTTTTGGCAGTGATCAACTAGAGTTTCCACATTCCAGAAGGTTGGTTAACGTCAATACTACAAACCACAAAATGCTATCATCAAACATGACCTATTTCCAGGTGTAACTGTAACTAAAGCTTGAAAATATATGTTAATAAAAGGTCTCAGTTAGTGGATATAAATAAAATAATTACATACTTTTTCATTTTCCCTTTGGACTCAGGGGCCATACACTTTATGTTTATGGTTTTCAAGTTATTTTCCTACTTAAGAATACCAGATTTTGACTCATTAATGTAAAAACTTGGTTAGTAGGAATATGAATTCTAGTCTTGGAAGTCTTAGGCCTGCCCACTAAAAAGAAACAACACACGTAGGAAAGAGTTATCTAAACCTGAAATAGTTTACAAGAGAGAGAATAGTTATTTTATTAAATATGAGATTTATTAACAATATATCATATACCACTTGGTCTGAATATTACATTTTAAATGTATTACATTTAGTAACTTAGTGGATGTATGCATGATGTATGTATGTGGTACACATGTTTCACAGATCATGAATGGAGGTCAGAGGACATAGGAGTCAGTTCCTTCCGGAAATGGGCTTAAGGGCCAGGCTTGACTGCAAGTGCCTTTACTTATTAAGCCATTGCACGGGTCTACTACAGCGCCCTTACAATGCAGGGGTAGAGGTTGGAGGTATAGCACAACTGGTAGGGTGGGGCCAAGAGCATGCACAAGGCCCCCTGGGTTTGATCCCCAGCATAGCATAATAGAGCAGAGCCTGTAATCCCAGAACTCACACATAGAGGATCAAAAATTGAAGCTCATCCTTGGATGAAAAGTGAGTCTAAGGCTCACCTGAGATGTATGATCTCCAATTTCAAAATTTAAAAAAGCACAAATATTAACAAGAACAAAACAAAACACTAGTTCTCTAATCTGTTGAGTGGAGTCTACTAATTAGTGAGGGAAAGACCCCAGAAAACTACTCCCATCTTGTCAAACTGCTACTAAATAGGGTGTTCAAGATAAGGAAATGAGCACTTACTTGATAATCATTTCTCTTAATATTTGGGACATCCATGTTGTGAGTAGAAGGACAAATATCTTCATATTTTTTGCCAGTGAAAATATCAATTCCAACAAGGTGTACCTAACAGTGGGGTACAGGAAACACGTTTTATCTGTCATGTCCTAGCTCATTACACAGAGGCACAACCCCAACACTTTCCAAGGTCATCTTACTTTCTTTAAAAAAATAGCAGTGGTCATAGAATTGAGATTCAGTAAACACCTGACAGATGGTTTCATGGCATCAAAACTCAACACCCTACAGATCTCAGCACTTCAATCACAAGAGTCTACAGAAAATGAAGACTAGGTCTCTTAGACTTATAAGAACAGGTTTGTTTCAACTGTAAATGAGATGTTTTTGCTCACCAGGATTCAGGAAAATTTTAGTTTCTAGTTAATGAAACATTCTAAGGACCAATTAAAGGAGAGCATTCAGTGTAATTGCTGGCCATTCGGAGACCGAGGGATGAAAAAAAAAGTTACTTTAAATATAGAAACCTCATAATGTAGAATGGAACACAAATGATCTTATCTGAAGCCAAAGAATAACCTGAAGTGCTTACCTTGGCATGACCATGCTTCCCAGTCTTGGAAGTTGACATCTCCACGATTTTGCATGGTCGTCCTTTGAGCACCACAAAGCCGTTTTTGCGCAGGGCTGAGCACTGCATAGGATAAGTGCTGGAAGCCCCTGCATCTCCCGTGGTGAAATCAATTTCATCTGCCATGGTGGGCTGGGGAGATGTGTGGTTTTTCTGAAGCAACTATGCAAAAAGTTTGTTTGCTTTTTAGATAATGGGCATACGGGTAGGGGGCATGTCTCATTCTGGGGGCAGGTAACAAGCCAAGCATCACTGGCCCGTTATTTTTGAATTTATAAGACACCCATTCTGAGTGGTGGATACTTTGCCATTCAGGCCTCTAAAAACTTTTCCAGCCCTTGGTGGGAGGTGGGAAAGGCAGCTGCAGAAGACCTCGCCGCGAAGTGAAGGCGACAGCAGCACTGGGCCAGCAGGTCCGATGCCCACCACCCCACCTCAAGAAGTGCCCGCTACGGGGCCCGTTGCCTCCATCCCATCCCCGCTGCTGGGGCATCAGCCAGGCCGCAGGTCCAGGCAAGGCTGGGACAGGAGCACCCGGCCGGCAGCACCTGGCCCTCAGCGCGCCTAGCACCCGCAGCGGCGCCGCCCTGGCAACCCGGTCTCGGCCCAGCGGAGAAGGGCCTGCGCCCCGCGGTCTTACGCTCGCCCGCCGTCAGGTTTGCATGCATCTCCGCTCCTCCCATCTCCCGGACCCCAGCGTCGCTGGTTGAAGTCCCCGCCCGCCCGCCCGCCCGATCGCCTGGCCCCAGGTCTTCACCTTTGGGTCCGCACCGCACGCCTCTGTTGCGTCCGCCGGTCCCTGCGGCTGCGGCGGCGCTGGCGGCCGCGGCTGGTCCAGGAGACGGGGCGGGGCCGCCACGCTTCCCACACCCGGTTCCCCGCCTCGTCCCGCCCCGTCATGGCCCGCCCCGCGCTAGTCCACACTTCCGGGATAGGCCCGGGCGCGGCGCTGGCCCCGCCCTCAGACCGCCCATTGGCTAGAGGCTTCCAGAGTCCCCGCCCAGTCACGTGAAACGCGCCCTGGCAACCCCACGTGCTGCGGATTAGTGCACTTCCGGCGTGCAGAGCAGCCAGCAGTCGACTGCTTGAAGCTTCGTTGTGATACCCTGCGCTATGCATCCTCATCTTTAGTTTGGGACCCCAGTTGACCTTGAGGATAGCCATTAGCCCTGGCATGCAGGTGCGTGGATGCTGTCACATCAAGGTCTTCAGAACTCTCAAGTCCTGCAGATTTTCCAAGTATCCCGAATGGCAGCGGAGTGAACTTTGATTCAAGCTTCTGGTACAGCTTGCAGCTCTTCTTGGGGTTGGAGTTCATGTTTGGAGCTGGAAGTGCCAGATGTGGTGTGTTCTTTTATGACTCTGCACTGTAGGCCAGGCACCTTGTGGTGAGCTTCTGATGCAGCCTGGCTGGAGTCAGCAGTATTCCCAAGGGTGGGAAATCAATCCTTCAGGATGTGAACTTACCCACAGCTCAGAGACTGTCTACTCTGCCCTATGATCATCCTGGTATTGGTGTACCCCAGAGTTTGGGTTTTTGCTGTTGTTAGTTGTTAAGGATTAAAGACAAAGTTTCTTCAGAGGGCTGCCTCCCTTTCAGTTTCTTCATAGCTGCATTTCTCTTACCTTGCAGAGAATCTACACTCCACAACCCAGTTCATGTTGTTCAGTGATTTCATATTCATATATATATATGCAGAACACAAATCTCGTGTGTTGTTTATGCTCGGTAAGCACATGGCTTCCCTAAAGAAAGAGCCAAATTAGACCCCGAGGCTATTGAGTTCCCTCTGCTTTTCCTTATGCTGTCTAACCTTTCCCTATTATTATTGCTGCTAATATTTAATTAAGAATGACACAGGCATTGTACTGTTTCATCTTGACTACTGTTTTTTTAAAACTAAGGTTAAAGTTGGGATTTATATAAAATTAAGTTTACTTTTAGTTCCATGAATTTTGAAAAAAAGAAATTATATAATCATCCCACAATCAAGATAGAGAATATTTTCCTCATTCCAAAATTTCCCGTGCCTGTTTTCACCCCACCTCACACCCAGCCAGACCTTAGAAACCATTAACAATTATTCTTTTATCTGCGTTTTTGAATTATGGGAAAAGACAGGGAAAATGAAGCAATTTGCCCCAAATCGTGTAGTTTGTAAGTCAGTCAGAGAATTAAAGTTGAAATTGCTGCTTTGTCTACCACCATATTCACATATTTACATAAGATTTGTGTGTAGAATCAAATGGCTCTTTAATTCAATAACTACCGTGCCTTCCCCTGGTCTCTAGAACACTGGTTAGCACATTGCAAGCCCTTGTTTTGACAAGAATTATAGCATTTGGTTCCTTGTTGGTTCATGTAGTCACATTTTCACGGTTAATGGGAAATTCTGTCATGTGCATTTCCATAAAAGACAACTTATTTCATATGTATGGTTAACAGTGGGTGTGTGGCAAACAGCACTATAATTCAAACTTGGTATTTTGTCTACACACCTGTCATCTCTATTTGACATAACACAGTCTTGCAAATAGGAACACCAGAGAACTTTTCAAGCATGCTATTTTTTTTGGGGGGCATTCTAAAGCAGAAGGCATAAAATGCAAAACAGAACACAAAGCTAAAAAAAAACAAGTAGTAAATAGATGGAAAAGAACAGTTACATGCAGTGTGATAGTTGAAGCCATAGAAGAGAACAGTACCATACTAGACTTTAGCTAATAAAATGTGGGCAGGTCAGTGGACAGGTCAAACCTCTACACTTCACAGATGGCCTAGAAAGCACATGGTTTGGTTAGGAGGTCCACTAAGGAGTTTTCTTTTGTGTGTATATGCAAATCAACAAATGGGGAAATCTCCAAATAGTGAGAATGAGTACTTAATTAATTTATTATTTATATATTTATTTTCTCATCCTTACTTCTGGAATTCCCAGACAGAGTCAGCCTTGTTCATAAGATGCTTGTAGTCTATCAGAAGTAATGTCTAAAGATAAATGGTATAAGCAATTAGATAACAATGACAAAAGGAGCTCCTCCTCGTATAGCCTAGGTTTTGGCCAGGTAGAATACAAGGCAATCTGTGTGTAGTTTTGAGTTTCCTACAGATAGGTTGAAAGGTTTGTAAAAATCTAGAATTAACATCCCATCAATATGTTTAGTTTAGTCTAATAAATGCATCCAAATGTTCTTTAACATGTAACCAATATAAAATTACTAAGCTATTATATATTCTACTACTACTACTACTACTACTACTACTACTGAGTCTTTACAATCTGGTATGTGTTTTTTATTTAACATCTAAATTTAGAGTGGCCACATTTCCAGTGCACTGTATGCTGTACGTGGTTGGTGGCTTGTCTGTGAATATCAGGTTGGAAAGTATAGCTACAGCTTCTCTGGAGGTGGTGTTTTAATTGGAGGTTTGAAGTTTGGATAGAAGCTAGTAGAAAGAAGCTGTTTTAAGTTTGAACATGCAGTTCCTCCCAAAAGACTGGCAGACTGAGGGCTTGGAACATCAGCTGGGAGCACAATTTTGGGAGCTTTCTGGAAACTTTAGAAAGGAGAACCTGGCTGGACAAAGTAGATGACTAAGGGTGTGCCTTTGGTGTTATCTTGTTCCTGGCACATTCCTGTTTTCTCTTTGCTTACTGTCCTTAATGGAGTGATGATGCTTTGGACACATACTCCCAGGCCATGATGTTCTGGCCAAGCACATGAGACAAAATAAATACTTTTTCCTTTAAGTTATTTCTTTCAGGTATTTTGGCCAAACAATAAAAAGTTAATGCAGAATGGGTTTGAAAAATGCATTTAAACCAAATGCAAAGGGAGTACAAGAGCCCAAATGGTGGAATCATGGTTTTACCTTGCACTGTGAATGGGTTAGTATGTTCTGTGAAGAGATGGGTGCATTTTACTTTGTTCTAAGGACAGTAAACACGAAAGCAATACAGATTATAAAATGATAACTTTATTTTTAATTTAGAAAGACAACTCTGTAAGATGCCTTTATTGGGAGAAAACTATTAGAAGTAGGAAATTAATTAACTATAAATAAAATAACCAAAGTTTATTTTAGTGAATAAGTTGTGACCGTGAAGAGACATAATCAAAAGAATTATAAGAGGAAATGGAAAGAATGTCATAATTGAATGTTAGAGGTCAAGATGGAGAGGCACAGAGTGTAAAGAATTACATGAAGACACATTGTTTTATGGCATTAATGTATCATTCACTGAGATGGGAAATTCAGTAGAAGCAAGTTTCAAGGAGAACTGAGTTCACTTTGTGGGCAACTGGGTTGAAAAGTCTTGTGGAAGATAGAATCTCTGAAACGGAGCTCTACATTGGTGAGTCATCAGCGTGCACATGAAGGTGTGATGGTTATAGTTGTGATCATGAATAAATTATTTTGGAATCAGTAGGCACAGTTGTCTTAGTGTTTCTGTTGCTTGGTGAACACTATAATCAAAAACAGTTTGGAGAGGAAATGGCTTATTTTGGCTTCAGCTTATAGTCCATCATCTAGGGAAGTCAGGGCAGGAACCTAGAAGCAGGGACTGATGCAGAGGAGTGCTTCCTCAGCCTGTCTTTTTTTTTTTTTTTTTTTATGGTAGCCAGGACCGCCAGCCCAGGGATAGTACCACCTACACTTACCTGGGCCCTCTGATATTAATCATTAATCAAGTAAATGCAACACTGGCTTGCCTACAGGCCAGTGTTCTCAATTGAGGGTCCTCTTTCAAAATGACCTTAGCTTTTGTCAAGTTGACATAAAATTGCAAGCACAATTAACCCCTTGTCAGCATGATACATAGACACATCACTATTATACTAGAACCTTTCCTTTCTCATATGTCTCCAAAATGGCATGTTAATAGTACAGTATAATGGATAAGTAATTTTAAAGGTCCCACGGTCCTTAAAATTTCAAACATTCTAAAAGTCCAGTCTTCTTAAAATATTCAAATTCTCTTTCCAAGTTCTAAGTTACTCTAAAATGTCTACACTTTCTCTAAAACTCCTTAAGTTTCTAGAAGTTCAAAATTTCTCAACTATGGGCTCTTGTAAAAATCAAAAGAAGTATGTTCTTACTCTGAGAGGGAAGAACCAGAACACAATCAATGAAAAATCAAAATCAACATTATAAAAAGTTCAGTACTTAATCTGGGACCCATGCATGACCTCTGGGCTCCAAAGGGCCTGGGTCACTTCTCCAGCTCTACCCTTTGTAGCGTATACAACTTATCTTCTAGATTCAGCCCGGCAGTACACCACAGCTGCTGCTGTCATTGGTGGTGGTAGCACCATAATTAGCATCTCTAAAATGTTGGGGCTCTCTACTGCACTGCATCAGTAGCCTCCGAAGGGGCTCTCTTCAGGGACTCAGACCATGCCACATGGTGCCAAGCTTCAACTTCTCTCAATGACTGCTTCAATTCTTGGATTTTTACTGGTATTGAATTTGCATCTTCACTAAAGGCCATCCATTCCTGACCCCTCACAGTGCCAAGCCCCAGCTACTCTCCATGACACCTCCTTCAACGCTTTAAAACCAGAACCACCTAGGAGACTCTTATGCTACTAAATTTGGCTGCCAGAATGAGATGCAGCTTTGGCTGCCTCAGGACCACAGCTTCTGTGGGCTGAGTAAACATTTCCCAGAAGATTTCAATTGTACCAGTAAAACAAAGGTTTCTCATTAATGGCTGTCTTAGTTAGGGTTTCTATTGCTGTGAAGAGAGACACCATGACCACAACAACTCTTATAAAGGAAAACATTAATTGAGGTGGGGCTTACAGTTTCAAAGGTTTAGTCCATTATCATCATGGCGGGGAACATGTATGGCAGCATGCAAGCAGACAAGGTGCTGGGA